TCATAGCTTTAAATGCTGCCCACAGGTCCATCCTGACCTGGTCTGATGTATTCCAGACTCAGTCATGTACTATGAATCACTCCCACCTACAGGCTTCACGGCACCTCAAGCGATCATGTACAAATGGGACTCTGTAGGCACCTCCCAGCCCCCAACATCAGCTGTCTCCATTTCAGTCCATTACAATGGTCCCTATCCTTGGAGTCATCCTTGACCACTTGTTCTTCCATGGCCACCCACCATAAAAGGTGGATCAGTGAGTCTGATTATACTCTAAATTAAGTTGGGAATCAGGTCATTTTTGTTCACTGAGTTCTACAGTGAGCCCCAAGTGAGTATTCATATTTAAATCAAAATTAAAATTTTAATCAAAGAGAGAAAAAAGAGAAACAGTCCATGTAGGAATTCTTAGGAACAGTAGAACAAAACTTAAATTTAAAAATTCATTTCTTCAGTGCACTGGTCATGTCTCTAGTGCATAAGAGCCATTGCAGACACGGAGCATTTCCAGGGCTGTAAGAAACCTATCAGCCAGTGCTACTCACCCCAATTCACCACCCCAGCCAGGCCCAAGCCGCTGAAGATTCCTGCCTGGATGCCTCTAACAGCCTTTCGGTTGACGTTGCTTCTTCAGTCTACATGAGAAGGCATAGTGATCCTTTGAAAAAGTCTCAGATCATGACACTTCTGTGCTGAAAGATTCCATGACACTTCTGTGCTGTTTATATCTCTTAGAGCAGAAGCACCCACAAATGCCCTTTACTCAGAAGCACTCACAAATCTCCTTTACTTGGGTGACCTCATCTCCTCCATCTTCTGGTTTGTTTTCTCTGCCACTGCAACAAGTGTCCCTCAGGTCTGGACACAGGCTGTTCCTGTCCAGAAATAGACTGTGGCTGTAAGCTTTTGTGTGATTCAACCACTGGTCCTACTTCTCTAATGAGTTGTAAGAAGCAGGGAACAGAGTCATGGGTAGAGATTAACTGGCTATTCTGATATGTCAGCTTTGTCTCCTTCCATCTCTGTGCTACAAAAGCCAAGGTAACATGAGAATTAGAAACACAAAGGGTCGCTAGATTATATCTTTCCCTAAAGCAGCATATTAGTCTTGTTTTAAAAAGAAATCATAGTTCTATCCTATAATGTCTAAATTAGTATTTGTGAAAAAGTTGAGTAATAGGAGAAGAATAATCCTTCCTTGCATCATTAAAATACTTAAAATCTAGAATGACGAGAAGGAAAGCAGGCCACAGATCGCATTTGTGTTAGGGGTTTACCTGTCCTCATATCTGTGAGGAGGTGCTATCTGAATCTGAATGTATATATAATATATATTTATATATTTAAGGGCCAAGAGATGATAATTTTTCTGCTGCCAGTTTTGATCAAAAGAAAAAGACTGTGAGGGAGCTTCAAATGCACAGACAGACTTGTTCATAAAGGCACAGCTTACATGTCTGAGCTGCACAGCATGTTAGCAAAGAGCCTGGAAAACTCCATCCAGGGCTCACTGGATGATTTAACTTGCCAAAGTATGTAATTAAGAGCAAAGTTATCTCTATAGTCATTCCTTCATTATTGAGATAACGCAATTGGAAGCTGTTTTAGAGAAGCCAGACCTGGAAATAAAATCCTTACAGACGGCACTTCAATGTCATGAAGATTACACTAGGAAACAAATTGATGCACACAGACAATCTTCTGTACGTACCCGAAAATTAGATCTCAGGAGAGACATGGAGAGCTAAGATGTAAAATAAAGGTGGGTGGGGGCCAGCACAGTGAAAGGCAGACTCAGTGGCTTGCCAGAGAGAGGAGCTCACACATGCCTGGTGCTCCCAGGCATTGCCTGGGGTGGGGCTTCTCGTGGTTTTCACTAACTTCCCCCTTCCAGCTCAAAAATCTTTATTTTCATAGTCCTGTTCACTGTCACTCACACTGGTACCCCCTGACAGAGTACGTACATATTTTTAATATCTGGCCCTCAAATAAGAACTACGAGACCATGAGGACCATTCACACAAATATAATTGGGGCAGAGTATCCGCTGAGGATGTGAGACAGTTCACACCTACGTGCACAGCGGCTGGGTGTGCAATTCCACCTCCACTGCCCAGCCCACCTCCTCCCAGGAACAACTCCGGTTTGCTGGTTTCTCTGCCTCCTCCTGAGGGGCTGGCACGGTCTGTTCAATTATTGGGACAGCAGAAATGGGTCTGTAATAATAAAGCCGTGGAAGTCACCCTACCATTGTCCCAGGCTCAGGCAGGCCCCCCAAATCACCCACTCTGCATTTTGCACACAGTTTTGTAGGTCTCCTTTTTCTGAAGTGCCTATTATGAGCTGCTGTTCCAAGCCTAATGGCTTATTTAGTTAACTGATCCCATCGTTGGTGTTCAAGTATGTGAGACCATTATAAACAAGAACCTTGGGAACAAAAGGCAAAATGTTTGCCTACTTCATAACTTCTACCTACAAAAAGAAAGTAGCCTTTAGGAAAGTGAGCAATTGCTGACTCTTTCTATATTCTGCCAATCTATGGATAGTTTACGAGTCAGGGGACTCAGTCTCCCCTCTTGCTCACTGGCACACATAGCCTAACCCCCCAGGATGTTATTCATGCTGCAATGATGCTCTGTTCAGCAATTGCTGAGCTGGTTAATATTACAGGAACCATTTCCCCCTCCATATGCAAGGAGATTACTGGACCCATGACTACAGTTGCTATGGGTTGTGTCAGGGAAGGGGTGATATTTGGGCTCCTCTTTTATGTTTGTCGATTGCTCTCTTGGAGCCTGTTGTTCTCCTCTTAACCTGGACAGTTTTGGATGGGTTTGAAAAGCTTGTTTGGAAGGGTGTCATTTGGTTGGGAATTAGAAAACATATTTTAGGATATAAGTCCCTTAGCTGGGGTTATAAATTCAATCATTCATTCATTTTCTTCATTCCTTCATTTAATTTCTCATTCACCAACTTACTCAACAGGTGTTTACTGAGTACCTACTCTGTGCTAAGAGAGTGCTAGGTTCTAGGAGTGCAGAGCTCAAACTGGGATACCAGTTGCCCAGGAGGGATTATGTCCTTAGGAGCAGACAAGGGAACCGAGTCTATTGGGTGTGGTTCCCAGTGAATTGCTGTCCAAAGTTAAAAAAAAAAAAGACTCTAGGAACACTTTCTGGGTGTGAAGAGATACCTTCCTTCATCTTTTCATTCAACAAACTCTGAATGAACCAGGCACTGAGGAGGGGCTTGGGCCATAAAGGTTAATTCTTGCTTCTAACTTTCCTTAGCTGGCAGGCAGTGAGGCAAGGTTCAAAGTCCAAGCCACAGTGACTTTCATAAGTCAAGACAGAATCGCCAGGGGGCATAGCACAGGATGACGGGAAGGGGACTTCAGAGAGTGTGTCCTGGCAGATGTGCACATTATGTGAGCACTGCCTGGCCAGGACATGTCAAGAAGACAGGTCCCTTCTGGGCCAGCACTCAGTTACTTTACCTTTACTTTCTTGGAATTGTTCAGACTCCTTTGTCACTGCCACCAGCTGTTGGGTCCAAACTGGATTCCCCTACCTCCCTTCCAACTCTGAGTATCTTCATTTTCCAGCCAGTAGAGCAAGAACAGAGTCCCATGGGACAGTGGTGGCGATGCTACCACTTTGGGCTGTGGGCCAGCAGTACCAATGTCTCCTGGACATGTGTGGGACATTTTTAGATTTCACATACACCATGTCAGACACTGAGTTCCCATGGTGTGACATCATGTTTAGCCCTCCAGGTGATTCAGTTTAGCTCAGGTTTGGAAACCACTGATTTCGGGGAGCCTGTGTGGCTCTGTGTTTAACTTAAGGCAGGGCAGAATACAAGGGCTTGCTCCTTTGCCTCTCAAGGTCACTTCCTGTGCAAGTAACAGAGCTCAGAGGGCCCAGGTCCAGCCTCTGCTCCATACACACTCTCACTGGGATCCCGAACCTGGTGCAGGATGTTCTGGAGTTGGTACTGTCTGTGGTGCATTGAGACTGTGAGCCCAGACATCTCTTCCCCTGCTTGTCCATGTTCTCATTTCCACGCTGAGGCACTAAACACAGACAGAGGCTCAGTACACTGGGCTTACACTCACCATCCACAGACATGGGAAAATCTTGGCCATTCCTTCCCATAGGAGGGCAGAAACTAGTAAAAATTTTTAGATCACTCCTCATGCCACATTTAGGAGGGCCAAAAGCAGCAGAAGTGATACAGGAGAAGAAAGGGCTGAGAAACTCTGCTAATTAATCCCTATGATCCTTCTCCAGCCTTCTCACTACCTGGTACCACCAAAGACCCCCAAACCCTGAAGAACGGCCGTCCCAGGAGAAGCAGGGAAATGGAGAACAGGCTACAAATGGTCAGAGTAACAGGCTGGAAGGGATAAACAGGACAAAATAGCAAGTTATGCTCAAAGGATGAACAATGACCCACTGAGCCATGAGCTCCTCCCTAGCACCAATCACACGGCAGGAAGCTTGTGCACAGCACCTCAGAGTAGAGGAAAAACCTATTGGAAATGCAATGGACACTGAAGACATTCACCTCACTGACCCTTGCAGGTCATGTGACCACTCCACATTCTTTGTCCTAGAAAGGATGGGATTATACCTGCTTTCCCTGCATCATGGGAGGAAGGTGCAAGAACCTGCTCAGATAATAAAAGCAGGAACAACTCTGAACCATGCCCTTTTAGTTTGGGAAAGCACGTATTCCCCAACATTGTATGAGAGAGCATCTGTACTCTAAGAGTCTGGGTGAATATCAAAGGCACTTTGAATTCCTCAGAAAAAGGTATCCTAAGAAATCATAGTGTCCTTAATAACAATTCAGAGAAAAAGTTGGGCCTTAGATCTTTGTACTTAGGGACAGCAAATCTGATTTATAATTGAATCTATCACTAAAAAGTTTAAGAAGTTCACTTTTCACAGTCAGGACCAACAGGTGGTGGCCCCCTCCACTGGCCATGCCCTCACCTGGGTCTCGGGGGCAGGGTCATCACTGCCCCAGTCTGGAAGTGGTTTGCCTGCTGCTGTGTCTTCAGCATATTCAAATGATGAGCACGTCTGAGGCCTCAGCTCTGCTTCATTCTGCTTTTGGAAACTGGTTTTTCCTAAAAGAGAAAATGTATATGAAATCACAAATTAACCATCAACCTTTTGCAACTTTAGAGAGGTTTGGGGAGATATTCAGAAATCATAAAAAAAGGTTTGAACAAATCAAGGTTGGGTTTCCTGCAATTTTGTCCCCAGCAGTCTTTGATACCTAAAATATCTACATAATCATGTGCACAGATTTATAAAAGAAACCCACTTTGCTGATCCCAAGTGTTTTCCACAAGTGGTTGAGACTTTTCTCAACAGAAAAAGTTTCTCAACAACTTTTTGAAACAGGTTAGGAAAGATTCAGGAGGCAGATCATTTGTGAAATATTGAGGTTATTCCTCACATATTATTATTTACCAAACAACAAACAGGTTTTGGAGAACAGCTCAGAGCCCTCACTGTGTGAATAGGTATTGTCATAGTTTCCAGAAGGAGGATTCAAATTTTCAGGCTTTCACAAGCCGAAGAGCAGGGAATGCTTATTTTCTTACAATACCTATTAAAGTACTTTTCAGTAATGTATGTGGGAGGCTTTGCTCAGCGGTCCTTAAAGATCTTCCTTGGAAGCACTTCTCAAGCTTTAGTGGGTTCAACATGCGTACACACACCATTGGTACTTCTGCTAAGCTGCAGGTTCTGATTCAGAAGGTGTAGGGTGGGCTCTGAGCATCAGCATTTCTGACCCGCTCCCTGGTGATGCTCCTGATGCTGGCCCATGGACCACACTTGGAGTAGTAAGGGTGGAGGTAGCAGACAATGATTAGAGAACATTTCTCCATTACCCATAGTAGGACATTAACCTGCAGAACATATTCCTTTATCATGCCAGAGAGCAGATTTGCTATTATTATTCTTCAGCTTCAACAATTATCAACAGGACATGCTGTGACAGCCTCTCCACAGCATTTTGCTCCTAAGGAGAAGCAAACAGACTGTGTTTTATCAGCCCTGAGAGACTGATCCAATGACTTCCATTTTTAAGATGGGATAAGAAAAAAACCCACTCAAATGTGTATGTTAAACAGGAAGTGACTGCTGAAAGCAGGCTTAATTTCATTTTCCTTTTGTTCCAGCTACTCTTCTAATCTCTAGTTTTGCACATGAATAACAAGTGGTCACGGAGAAAAGAGAAGCTTTGGATAAATGTTGCTGCCTACTACAGATAATGTGGTGGCCGGACATTTAAGGATGGGTGACCCAAAAATGTCTTGTCATGTTCACCTGGCTCTCTGCGATATACTACTTTTTTTAAAAAACAAAAACAACTTTTCATGACAATTCAATTAAGACACAAACCTTAGAAATCGAGTGCAGTGAATATTACAGTGAGATCAGAACAATCTATGTCCCATCCCCTTCTTCAGAAGCAATTCAAGGCTTGTGGTTTCTATTCAATTTGTTATAATGACAGTGTTTAATCATGGAGTCTACTCTGCAGCCCGCTGCTGAATTGAGGTCACACATGTGACTATTCAGGCATAGAGCATATAATCTATAACTGAGATTTCACCCGTGAGTCTCTGGGGGCTGTCATTAATTAACAATGCACTTATCTCTAATATAATGTGCATTACAGCCTTTCAAAATGGACCTGGAGCTTGGAATGAGCAGGAGTTAGCGGTCAAACATCCGTGGCAGCTGGTATCATGGAATGGAGGAAGAACTCAACTATGGGAGTATCCTGATGCATTCATTTAAAGATATTTAATTAGAAGTCTTCTTTTCTCATTTCTTAGAAACTTCTAGTATAATCTCCACTTGCAGCTTCTTTCTAATTATCTAATTGTAAATGAAAGTGTTCAATTCAAAGTTGTAGTTTATGTATTTATGCAAGTCGTCAGAGCAACAGAAGCCACACATGTCAAAAATTATTTAGTGTCATTCTAGCCTGCAATAAATATTTTTAATCTTGAGGGAATCGTGAAAAACTTTGACCCTTGGCCTGACTTAGTCTTTAATCATGGAAGCTTGTTTCAATTGACTGTGATGAAGGATGGTGCTTCTCAGTGGAAAGGCTTGGTGTTTCTTCCTGCTGCAGCTAACACACAATCTACTGCTGATCCATCAGACTAAACCTTGTGGTTCAACATATAAACATATGTAAAGAGGACAAGAATATGTCAGAAGACATAGGGCTTCTAGTTAGAGGGCAAACAACATTGTAGTTACATTATATCTTGGGTATAGATTGGTAAAATTTATATGCAAAGTTTTATATGCTAAAATCCCATGAATGTATGTTTATGTTTTTTTCATAGTCAATTTATATAGCCACATAACAGTGCTTACACATTTGCTTCCTTTTATGTGTGTGCACTCCTTAAGGTAGCTCTATGAGTCAATAGTGCTTTCATATGCTGTTTTAGGGGCTGGGGATTTAGCTCAGTGGCACAGCGCCTACCTGGCAAGCACAAGGTCGTGAGTTCAATTCCTGGTAACGGAAAAAAAAATAAAAAATCAACAACAACAATAAAAAGGGTGACACATATGCTGTTTTAGTTTTTGGTGGAACATGGAGGAATGTTCAAAACTCCTCATTTCGATAGGACAGAGGCCACTGACTTACATTTCTCCTAGTAGAAAAATTTTCCATTTTTGTCATTATGGGCTGGAGAAAAAAACTAATTTGAGAAGCCACTGGCATTTTACCTGAGGAGGCTGGCTTGGGGAGGTGACACTGAGGAGGTCGTGTCACTCTGGCCATCATGATGGGCTCGGATGCGGAATGAACAGTGGCCGTCTCTGTAGCAAGCTGGCTGTCTGTGGAGGAAGGCACTTCTTGGTCAAGGGTGTGGGCTCTGATGGAGGAGGCTATGGAAGGAGCCTGCTGGAGGGACAGGAGGGGCTCAGTGTCCTCCGAGCAGTCTGGCTGGCAGGTGTAGCGTCCTGTCACACGATTTCCTGAGTCTGGGAGTGGGAAGGTCCCGATGCCACTGTCCAGTGTTCTCATCTGGCAGTTTGATTCTGAGACAGAAACAGAAGGAATTAGAGAAGTCTTACCAGAAAGGCTGAAAAGATCATTGGTATTAGGGAATGGTCTGAGGAAAGGGGATATCTACAAAGAAGAATTCATCAGAAAAAGAAAAATAATAAAAGTTTGGAAATAGTGTGACTTTCCAGTGAGGTGCATGAAATAGACCTTTAATGGAACATGAGTTAGCACTTTCCAAAATTAAGTAAGAAGGCCAGCCTGTTGTAAGCAGCAATAAATAGTCAGATGCACGTATTCCTTAGATGGTTCAGTAGAGTTATAATAGAAAAGGAGACCAACAATTATTTTTGATTATCCTTATTTCAGCTTGGGAATCATATGACTTCAATTAGGTGAAATTGATTAGCTAAATAAAATGAGTAATGTGCATACATAACAAACTGAAGAGATGTCCTAACAAAGGTAGTTTTATATCTCCTGCATGAATTACCACCCATGCAGCAGTTAACTCCATGGCAGGCCTCTCAATTTGACTGTGAGGAAAAATAATTCACACAGCATAGGGTTATAACATCACTTAGCAGGTGAGCTTTGTTTGACGCCATTGCCACTTGAAATCTTACTGAAAAGATGCAGGAGCCACTTTCTGTCTTTCTCACTTTATTCAATGACAAAACTCATCAGTACCCTTTGGATTGTTCATTACTTCTGGGGATCCTATTATTCTTGCAAAAAACTGGGACAGATTTTACCATGTTTGTGACATATTTGTCTTAGTTACTTTTCTCATCGCATAGACAAAATACCCGATGCCCAAGGTTAAGGGAGGAAAGGTTTATTTAGCTCACAGTTTGTAGAGGTTCAGTCCATAATCAGCTGGCTCCAAGGCAGGTTGGCCTTGCAGGGGAGAAATAGTTCTTGGTGGATAGAAAATAACAAAGCAACAAGGGACCTACAGAGTATTTCTTCCCCTTTTATTTTATCCAGACTGCTTAGGGTGAATAGCATTCATACCCTAACCCTAGTGTCCTTGATCCTAGCATTGCACCGTGAATCAATTCTAGCATTGCACCCTCTAGATCCAGCCCTGCTTATCACCACACTTATGAGGTTCTGGGAGCACATCTAAACACAAGCCATAACAATATTGTTAAATGTGTTTCCTCTTAAAATTTATGAAAAATTATTATATTTTTAATTTCTGAAATGGTGATGTGGCTTTTCCAAGCCAATGAATCACCTTGCAACATCTCATTGTCATCCAGAAAGTTTCTATTCGTACAATAACATCTTGGAATGAAACTTCCTTAGCTGCATTTAAAAAAAAGTCTAGTACTGGGTAAGGTACAACTCAGTACTGTGTTAGGTATGGTGGGAAATATAATTACAGTGTAAGCTTTATATCAAAAGCTCAACAGCTGCCATTTCTTTGGTGCTTTACAGAACACTGGCTTATGATGCGGTCTTTGCCAACAACTGACAGTGTGAATCCTTGTACAAGAGCCTTAACCTCATGGGACCTTAGGTTCCTTATAGGGTTGCTATGTGTATATGTTTAGCACCAAATCCCTAGAATTAAGAATGACACCTAGCACACTGTGTAATAGCTGAAGGAATGAAACAATAAATGTCAATATACACAAAGTGCTACTCTATTTATACACATTAGTATCTAATAGGTAAATAGCTTATCTTTAATTACCTTTCATACACAATCTCATTTGATGCTCAGAAAATATCAGACTATGCTCATTTCCCCTAGCCTCCCTTCCCTCTCAAAAAAAAACCTCTTTGGTATAAGCAAGTAGTGGAATTCTGGGAATTTCCTAATACCCAGATAAAATCAATGGTGGTTTTTCTATGTTCTAGACACTTGGTGCTTGGTCTTGGAAGTACTAGGAAGACAAAGTTCCCATTGAGGAGAGGCTTCAATCTTGACAGTGGAACTGAGTAGGAACATGCTGCCCTGCATGGTGTTACTAAACCTTATCTATGCCACTGGAGCTCAGGGTTTGGTCGCAGACAGTAGCATCCTTGAATCAGAAAATGTAATCTGAAACATGCTTTTCTTCCCAGGATCACAAGCCCTGAGGTTTAGCCTTATTCATGTTAGCTTTACTTTCAATGAGCCTTACAGGTTGTTCATTACTTTCTCTATTCATTTTCTCAGATTACACAGACTTCCTATTATAAAATGGCTTTTTCAACAAATGAACAGCTGCTTATATGGGAAGGCACTGCCAGAAGAGTGAAGTAGTGGTGGAGACCCTTTTTGGACCTCTCTGCCTTTATAAATTTTAACCTGTTCAACTGGTTAGGCTTGGCATGCCCATGCATTGTATTTGGGGTAATTTCTAAAGTCTGAATATTCATAATCAGAAAACTGACCTAGTCTTGGGGGTGGAAATTAAAGTCTAACAGGATGTGAGATATGTTGGACCCCATGTATCTCACATTGCCTGCCAGAATAATTTATTCCCAATATTTTCAGGACCACCTTCCCCTAAAGCACAGGGTGCTCATCAGAGTGAGGCAGTAGTACCCTTCTCCTTTCATGAGGATGGGCCATCAAAAGTATGGCTATTTTTTTTTGGTTTTTCTCCGGTACCGGGAACCGAACTCACGATCTTGCGCTTGCCAGGCAGGCGCTTTGCCGCTGAGCTAAATCCCCAGCCCCAGTATGGCTATTTATTATACCTCTCAGGAGGTCACTGCTTTCTTTGTATTGTTTCTTCATTTTTAAAACCCAATAAAGTAAAAACTATTACTGTCATTCATAAAAGAAGACTTAGAGCTCTTAAAGACATTTGCTTAAGGCCATATGTTATAGAGAACCTGGATTTGATTTTTTTCTTTTTGTATGTGTGTGTGATACTGGGATTGAACACAGGACTTTGCACTGAGTTACATTCTTAGACTTGAATCTAGGCTTGCTTTATTACAAGGACTGCTCTTACCCACCAAGCTATCCTGATTCCCCCAGAAGCACAGGGAGGCAGTCTTAGTTCATAGGCAGCATGTTAGCAGCCACCCGCTTCTAGGTGCGGCACCTAGCATTCCTGACATTACTGCTGGGCTGGAACTCGGGCTTGGCTCTGCATTCTGAGGTTGGAGCCACTGCTAGTGCACCCCGCATCTGCTCTGTCTGCTGTGGAGGATGCTGACACATCTTCATCTCTATAGTTCCTGAAAACCACAACTGCCTCATACGTCTGTTCTCTTCCCTCTTGGACTGGAACTTTATACTATGCCACAGTTTTCTCTACAATTTATTGTGTTTCCCTTTTTGGTGTGGACACTACTTCCAAGGACAAAATTTTCTGGTTGTGTCTTTCTCTTCTACAGATTTCATGGCTTGGAGACCACTTCATCTACCCTTCGAGTGAAGATTCAGAAGGCAAAAGGAGAATCTCAGTTTCCTTTTTTAGTGATCTGAGGAGAGGTTCCACTCCTGAAGCCTGATGTGTTTGTTTGCCCTCTGAAGTGAGGCTCTGAGGTGAGGGATGGAAGGGACCTCTGCAGAGGGTTAAAAGATCCACGCCCCTTTCAGGGATAGAAAGCACAGCACCTGTGTGGCTGTAAGTAGCAAAGGGTTTTCAAGCAGCTTTGTGGTTTGAAGCTAAAAGGTTGTGGGTTTTGGCAGTTGTCTTTGTGTAGGCAGCACTGTCCCTCCTAGTACACGTTGCCATGCCAACCCCAATTCTCCTATTAGTTCATAAGACCATGCCCCTAGAACAAGCCCATTATCCCCAATCAATCAAGTATTGACCCTCAGGGTAGTGGAGACAGGGCCCATATTCCATAAAATAAGACCACATCCCCAGATTAGGTAGTGTCCCAGCTCTGGCCCCCACTTCTTCAAGTGGCTTTTTATTGCTTCCTTCTGCAAATAAAAAGTACTTTCACTTTGCACTGGCCTTCTCAGGATGCTCTTCCTCTTTCTATGAGTGAGATAGAGATAGAGATAGAGATAGAGATAGAGATAGAGATAGAGATGAGAGAGAGAGAGAGAGAGAGAGAGAGAGAGAGAGAGAGAGAGAGAGAGAGAGAAGCCTGGCAAGAGTGTGTCTGTGTACCCCTAGATCCCGGATCCACCAGACATGACAGGGGCAACTGCTGGAAATACAGTAGAACAGAGATTTAGGGTAGAAAAAGTAGCAAAGAAAACCTAAGTCTGGTGCCTATCAGAGCACACTAGGATTTTCTGACACCTGTCTCCTTGTATTATTTTCCTTTTCCATTAATACACAATATTGCCATACCAGAATGTATGCAATAGGACTTTTTGAATTCCTGAGTTCTCCAATAGTCTGAGAATCGTGTGCACTGACATTAAGCTCTGAAACCACCTATTAAGGCCATTTTTTATTTCTAAGGATTTCAGGTGCCGAATGTAGAGACTGTGAGGACTCATTTATAAGTACCTATGAAATGAGATGTGGACATTCGGGGTCTCAGATATATGCCAAGTTTCACCTTCCAGCAAATTTCTTCAGAATGCATACACCTTGGGAAATAGTTTATATCGAAAATGCTGACCTGGCCTTTATGTAGTTTCTTTAAAGCACTATTAGTTTCTTGCAGTACATAAAAATATTGTACCCTGAAAAAGTGTTGGATACTATACTCCTGAGACCAATTTTTTCTTCTCAGAGAATTATAAGAACTCACAAAATAATTAAATGGCTGTAGTAAGAACAAAGTTCAAAGGGCCATCCTGCCTTGAATCTTGAATGAGATGACTTGGTCTTGCTGGACAAGTGTTGAATTCCCATTTGTGACTGTAAGCTCAGGGCTAAAGGAGCCCCTTGATAATGAGTTCAAGGGTTGGGTCACTTGATGTACCAGCAGCTTCTTCCTCCAAGGTCATCAATTGCATCTCTGACCTTGGCCAGCCCTCTCACCTATTCCCATTGTTTTATTTGCCTTCTGAGAGTTTCTAAAGGTAGGTTCTCATGCTTATCACTATCAATGCTCTCCAGACAGTTCATTAAATGACTTGAGGCATTGCATCTCAGTCCTTTTAAAGTCA